CAAATGCCATCGAATCTCAATCAAAACAAAGCTGGGTCATACAACAGGTAGTTGAGTGGAGATAGTATGCCTGGGTACACGTGTGTGTGACTGTGTGTATTCACATTATCAGAGTTTACTGTATGTGCCTCACTGCGTGTGTCACCACGCCAGGCTGTAGACCCTCTGTAAGGGGGCTTTTTCAGCAGGAACTATGTGAGAGTTTGCGGTGAATCAGTCAGTCTAGTTTTCTCAGAGGACAGAACTAGTCCCCCCAAAAAATGGCAGCCAAGCCCTTTTCTGTTTTTACTACTTAGCTTCCGATGGGACAGAAAACACGGAAGCTTCAGTCGAGCATGAGAGCTGGTTTTCTACTCGATTTAACTGGTTTCACGCAGGGCTCAAGTGTGCTATTGACTTGATGGACCTGCTGTCCCTCTTTTACACTGAGAAGAAGTAGTATGTATTATAAAGTAATACATTGCTTTTTCAGATTATTAGCAATATTTCCTTTAAATTAAGTGTACTAGTAGCTCACCTGGTAAAACGGGCTCCTTTGTAGTAGGGCATATAAATGATTGCAGTTGCCAGATGTCGAATTCCATCGATGGCCCTTTCAAAGAATGTCATCTCCCCTTTCCCTTTTCTCTCCTATAAAAGGCAAGAAAAAATAAATAAGTCGATTTATCTATAGACCTGAATATTGGTTGTCAGCAGATACTCATAAGGCTTTTTTCTGCCTCCTTTAAGCGGATATCTAATAATAAATACATACCTACTTAAAACAAAACAAGGCATTAATGATAAAAGGAGAAATTAAGTTAAATCTCACAAACAGTTATAAGTCTAGATGAGTCATTGAACTCATTAAAATAGCAAAAAGTGTCCCATTGTATACATTAAATAATGTAGCAACTACGAAACGGCAGTTTTCTGAGAAAGAAGCCAAGGTTGTCTACCAGGAAAAAGAGCAATTACAGTTCAGTCTGTGTCTCCTAAATGTTTGTGACAGCAGCTTCTTGGCTTTTTTACCACCTTAACTACTTCTGCTGGGCGTGTGTTTGTGAGTGTGTGCGTGTGCGTGTGCGTGTGCATGTGCGTGTGCGTGTGTGTGTGTGTGTATGTGTGTGTGTTAATCCAATGATTAATAGAGTTAAATGGACTCCATCTAGCAAACACACACTGCTGTCTAGCTCTCACTCAACTAAGAAGCTTGTTTCTCTTGCCTTGGTTTACAGTTTTTAACCAGACTTTGGTCTTTGAATATTTGACAAACATTCAGTTTTGCTTTTAAAAAATATATATTTTTCACATTTTTGCATCCTATATCTCACACTACTACCCTTAATGTTTACTTTCTTATATTCAGGCTTATCACCGTACATTTATTTAAATGTTTTCTCTTTTATGGCTATGCATTTTACACTCAAAGTTGTATGTATCCTAAAACAAAAGCTTTAACTTAATGACCAATATCCAGACTTAAAGAGGAATCCCTGCATTGTGTTACAGAACCAGAGCAGGCCCATCGTTAATAATCAGAATGTTGTGGCCATCCATGAACTCAGTCAGAACTGTGTCTCAAATACTACAAATCCTGTATCAAAGTAAAGCAATGCTTTGATATCTAAGTGAATGTGATTTTAATATGATCTCTGCTTGATCTGAGCTTTCTCTCTGCATGCCAGACTCAAGTGTCACATCATTTTCAACACACACTCTCTCGCTCTCACATGCATGCACACACACATTGATCCACTTTGTTGCTTTGGTTTTCTCACCCTCACATCTAAAGTGTGCAAAGTCTTTATGGACTCCCCTTGAAAGTTCCTTCTTTTAAGCATATGTAATGTTGTCTTCTTACTAAGAGGCTCCAGATTACTTTTTTGCTGATTGATGGGAAATAGCATGTAACATTTAGAATAGGTTTTGGGCAAAAAATTGAAATATGGCTTTAAATGATTCTAAACCAATCACATCACATACTGAAATATTTTGTAATCCATCTCACATTGACTGATTTACTTTTTATTTTGTTCTTCACTTTGAAATAAATGTGTTATTGATAACAGCAAAGCCCATAAAGGTTATATAAACCTTATACTGTATGCTGTTTTTCACAATTAAATAAATTAGTAAATTGATTACAGCAAAGCCCAAAACGTTACAGACGTTAGCCACAACTTGTGAATACTGAGTTATATATGCATTCCCTATAGATCTCTTTAGGGTACATTAAAACGTACATGTTATATAACAGATTCTGACTTAGCTGATCATTAGCTTTGGACTGTAACTATTCTCAGAACACACTTTAAGTTCTACACAGAACAACACAAATCTAATTATCATTCCATTATGGTATCAAACACATTATAAACTTTTGCTAAAAACTTGGAGAACGTTAGTGTTTGCAGGCGTGGCTAAGACATTTCTGCTCGTCTGAGTGATTGATAGCATTGCAGCTGGTCCCATCCATTCAGCTGCACTATATTACACACTTTAAGTGAGAAGGGCCAGCCTCTTCTCATTCCTTTTGTTCCCTAAAAATGATATTCATTAGTAGAAAGCTATGTGGATTGTGCATCTGTGTTTAGACTCATTCATATTCCAGATGTCATATTAGTATTTGACATATTTTAGAATAATACATCATAATACTTAATGCATGTTCTAACTGAAACCAAGCAGAAAGGGGAGGAGGACAGTGATGCATGTGTATGCCTCTCCATGCACCTCTTTGTGATTTTGCTAAATGTGCTTGTGTATTTTCAGGACGGATGTCTAGTCTTTCCACACTCTGAGGCCACTGGCAATTAGATGTTAAGTGGTCTCAGCATTATCTGAGCCTTAGCAGACCGTTTTGAGTCAGCTCAATCAATCCCCATCCATCCATTGCAGAAAAAGCACCACCTCCTGTTTATTGGAGAAGGGCCCCTAGGAGGAGAGTTCACCAACGTGGCAGAAAACTACCCTTGGTCACTGAGCACTGAGTTTGAGCCAAGGTAATGGTCCTTTCAGGGATGTATCTGCAAGTGGAAACCCCAATGGAGTCTGTGGTGACAAAACTGCAACCTCTCAAAGTGTTCAGTGAAATTGTAGCCCATCAGGAACATGATGAAGGATTTGAGAGCGGTGGTAGTGTAGTATTTTATGGAATATCAGAAATTGCCGACGCAGGACGCTGTTTTGCACACAGGGCAATGTTGTTGGCAAGCCAGGAAATGTTGGTTGCTGCAATTTTATAAAATATAATTTTTGCATGAATTAGTTCCTTGTGGGAGGGAAACTAATTAGCTCATTGTTTAGAGGGAAAAAAAAAAAAGTGTGGCCCCAGTGGGACGCTCAGCACGTTAAAATCAATGGAGATTTGTGCAACAGCTCATCAAATGGCAAAGCAGGGGGCCACATGCTGATAAAGGCTTGCTGTGGATGACAGTAATGGATGGACGGATTTATAGATGGATTACCACAAGTAGCATTACTACTATCACACATCACACACCAAGAGAAGACTGAGGAATATTTAACTAATACTATGTACGGTCACCCTTACTAAAAACTAAACAAGAAAATATGAAGAAGTACAGACCATCAGGCAAAAGCATCACGCTAGCCGATGTGCTAAATCTGGCCGGGTGTGAAAAGTGGTGGTGGGGGGGGAGCCTCTTCTTCTACTGTCAATGCCTTTGCGTGGACCAAGCCTATCTATCTTTGCTCAGCCTTCATTTTTTATCTCAACTTTCAACGTTTGTAATGCCAAATCTTGTTCCTGGTGTGTAAAGGGGGGTAGCCATTGAGTTGAGTTGAGAATACAAAACGTTTTAAAGTGTATGTTATTTTATGCATAAATAGAGGAAGTGCCATTTTGTGTGACTTTGACACTTTTCTTCCAGCAGAGAGCAAAGCAGTTCAGTGTTGCCAGCTAAATCTTTACAGCACACACTAACATAAGGGAAATGTAATATATGTAATGGCCTGCTTTAATGAAATGGCAAGACACTCACCAGTCTGATGGGAAAACCTGTTAACTCTCAGTAGAGATAGGAGCAGGGCAGCGAGCCATCTGAGCAGACAATGTTGCTGAGTGGATGTAAAATTGTGCTCAATATATTACCTCAAATATTTTCATACCGCCAAAGCTGATGGAATAGCAGAAGTATACATTTTCAATAACACTGTGCACATCACTTCATGTAATATTAAAAATAATAGCCAGGGTAGTCTGAATGCTAATGTAATCACAACAGAGATTATGTTTTCTGTGTCAACCTTATTTGCTGTAGAAAACAATGAGCAACAAAACAAGGATTAAACTATAATGATGATTGTGTCCTGAATATATATTTTTTTAAATAAGTATTAGATTGAATTTAACTGTTACAAACAGTTTGGTAAGCAATTGATATTTTGTAGCTCAGTTTTGTTCTTCTTTTCTTTATATTTGCCATTATTAATATTCATTTGTCAGCTATATTACTGGTATTAAATGTGGGCTTTCTTCTTCTTTGAATAAATAATAAAACTAAACTAAAACATGCCCAAACACTATAAACAAATATTGTAATGTTTAAAAAGGAAAGGGGGCAAAAGACATCCTGTGAAATTGCATGTCCTTCTATGCTGTCAAAAATATGTTTAAACAGGAACACTGTAACCTTGCTCCCAGCCTCTTGTGTACAATGTATTTAAATAGATGTGTTACCTTATTAGCCTTAAAGACAGGATAATGAGCATTGAGTCAGGCATTAGCAAACAAAGTGGCTCCCACCTGTATTATGAAAGAGTGTGACAAATCTATGTATATGTCTTTCATTATTTCCCATTCTTTTTGTGACCAGTGTTATATTAATTTCCTTTTTAGAATTCTTCTCCCACTCCTATTGCATATACCTCTCTTCATTCAACCCCTCCTGGTATGCATCCTCATTTTGTAATCTCCTTTGTCTCCAACCGTCCTTGTCCTGGCGTCCCTCTGGACTTGTCACCTTTCACTCCTGACAGTCTGCTTTCCTCTGCAGGTATTCCTTCCAGGATGAGGAGGACATGTTTATGGTGGTGGACTTGCTCTTGGGAGGAGACCTGCGCTATCACCTCCAGCAGAACGTCCATTTCTCAGAGAGCACCGTCAAACTCTACATCTGTGAGCTGGCCCTGGCCCTGGGTTACCTCCGTACGAAGCGCATCATACACAGGTCAGATACTCAGTCTGTACAAAAAACATGAGAGGTATAGGCTTTTTACTGGTTGCCCGTAATATCTCTTTCTTATATAAATCATGTCCCACTTCTGCCTCTCTCCATTGTTTTTCACCACCAAGTCTAAGTATTATCTTTCCCGGTGTACGTTTCTCCTTGGCTGTCCACTTTAATATTATTTTCTAAGATGACTGCTCCAGCAGAAAGGTCTAGCAGTGTCGACATGAAGGTCACACCTGACACAACAGTTTACTATGAACTGCAGACTATGGCCATCATGAAATGCACTATTTATGTCCCTGCTGCTTTGTCAATGCCTTATTTAATTTGTAAAATGCAGGTTAAGTGCTTTTTAGGCCGAAATATCTGCTGCTATGGCACAGCCAACAGTTCGCATGGCCAAGAAAGACATGGCTACAGCCCAATATTATTATTTTAAGTTGTTGAAGTGACTCAAAGGACATCCTGTTACGGCCAACAACGCTGCCAAAAGTACTTTAATCCTTATCACATGACTCTTTCATAGAGGGACAATGCAGATAAGATAAACAGCTTGGACAACAAGGTCTCAAACCACATTTTGTCTCATTGGCTTTACCAAATACATTACAAATTCAAGTGTGTCATTGCAAACCAGTCAAACTGAGGTCTTCAGTGTTGGTGGTTGTACATGGGAACACATTTTGACCTTGGAGTCAAGGAGTTGCATCTAGCATCCCATTTGTTGTTAAAGTGGAATATTTACCTCAGTCGCAAATACAATTAAGTCTTTAGATTTGTAATCTCTGCAGATTTGTTAAAGGTCCCATGACATGGCCATTTCTACTGATCATAATTCCATTGTTGAAGTCTACTAGAATATATTTACATTGTTCAATTTTCCAAAATCACATTAATTGGTTTCTCATACAGCATCTCTGTATAGTATGTGTATTCACTCTCTGTCCTAAACGGCTTGTTGGAGCTCCTGCCCCCCCCCCTCCCTATGAGCCCACTGTGCTCTGATTGGTCAGCTCGCCCACTCTGTTCTGATGAGTCCACCACCGTTACAGCGGAAGATCAGTGATTATGTGTTACAATGGCGTTTGTTAGCAACCAGAAAATGACACCAGTAATGACAAACAGATGAGAATGCTGCGTGGGGTCTGGGTGCAGTGTGAGCTGTATTACTGGTGTCGTTTCCTGGTTGCTGCGTGGGGTCTGCGAGACAGCGAAACTCAGCCTGAGCACACACATACACTCACAGCCAGGCTGTTCGCCACACAGTTCGCCACACACTCACAGCCCGAGAAAAGATAAGGCTGAGTGAGTGTTTCTCCGCGATCCCAACTCGTCTATTACCAACGTTCAGGAAGCTCTATGCAAGTCAATAGGACTCCCTGATAGTTAAAAATCGACGCTAAAGGTCCCCCCGCTGCGTTTGATAGTGACGCCAAGGGATCCTGGTGTGTGACGAGCTCCACGGATTGGTCCATTTGGGTATGGTCACGTCACTATACCCAGGAAGAAGAAAATGGAAAAAGAAGAATCTCATGTATAAAAAGGGGAAACCCTGCTATCTTACCAGTTCTTATGCATATATATATATATCTCTCTCTCTCTCTACAAAAGGAATTCTGGAATGACATTATAATTAAAAAAATATAGACAACTGCAGGCTATAAGAGCACAATATAACTAAATTATTTTATTTTATTCTTTTCATGACCCTTTCAGTATAAGTGCATACATTTTTAGCAAATACGAGCTAAATTGTACAACCTTAGTGCTTTGCTCCTATTTATGAGGCACTGTTCTCTACTCTGTTGACTGAGCATGAGGTAAACACAGAGAGTCCTTCTCAGGTTTTGACTAATAGAAAACAAAACCGCAACAGAGAACACTAATTTATCAACACCCCCAGATAACAAATTACACCATTTAACATAGAGCAGACCACTTGCTCTTGTCCACACTCTCAACTTTAATAGGAAGAGAGAGAGAGAGAGAGAGAGAGAGAGAGAGAGAGAGAGAGAGAGAGAGAGAGAGAGAGAGAGAGAGAGAGAGAGAGAGAGAGAGAGAGAGAGAGAGAGAGAGAGAGAGAGAGAGAGAGAAATTAATAGAAGGGTTTAATAATATATTTATTTATTGAGTCCATTGAGGGATATGAATATTTAAATTATGATTTCTATGTTAGTGCTGAAGAGGACAGACTTGATGTGCAGGTGTTGGGGGCGTTTGTTTGGATGGAATCAACATCTTTTCAATCTGCATTCATTAGCTTCAAATAGGAAGTGGGGCTGAAAGTAACTCTCAGCTCATCTCTATGGAAATTGAATAAATAATTTCCTCCATCAGATGTGGACGTGCTGACTTCAGTACAGCAAGTGATGCACTTCAGAATGTGGTTGTGTATATGTGCAGTGTGCATGTGTAAATGTAGGTAAAATGCAGGATATACATGTTCTTCTACCATTGGTCTGTGATGATATTGATTATAATGAGGAGATTAATCGAGATAATGACATTAATCCTACGTGAAATGGCAACAATGTAATGATGTTGTTCAAGAGTTTGACCATGACTTAGACAGAATATGCTTGAGAGTAGTTTGTTTCAGTATGATGGCCAGATTTCCACATTATGTTATTTAAAAAAAATGTTATTAATTTGTATTTGTATGTCTTTATTCGACAGGACCTAGAAGCAGTCTGGATACAGGCTATGTTGCATTAGGCGCGTTCACACCAAGTACTTTGCCGTATTTAGTGCTGGCACTCAGTGCCCCGGCACTTATTACCCCAGGGCATTTAGTACAGATCGCGTTCACACCGGAGTACTTTTCCCTGAGGGAAGATTACGCAAATGAGCCGCTGACGTCACTTCGTCTTCTTCTGCTTTGGGTTTACTGGCAGGCCGCAAACAACTTCACGGTGTATACTGCCACCCGGAGTCCCCGGCCGGAAGTCCCCGGAGTTGTGGACTGGCTTCAGTAGAAGCTGCTGGGACTCCCAGCAGCTTCAACTGAAGCCTTCCGAGTAAATCGCCAGAACGCCGACACCTCCTCATCTCCACCGCTCCCATGTTTTATTTTGTGTTGCCATAAGTTAGTCTCTCTGCGTTTGTGCACTGGGCGAATGCTAATGCTAATAATGCTAATGCCAGGATAATAAAATGGCGGCTCTACAAAACATTTCAGAGTTGTATGGGGCGTGGTTTGCAATTCGCCCAGCCAATCAGAACTGGGGCACTTTTTTCCCCCAGGAAAGTACCATCTCTCAGCAGGCACAAAAAATGGGGGTACAAGTTCCCGAGATGAAGTGCTCTTTTTGGTGTGAACGCGACATAAGGGGTACTAACGGAAATAAACGCGAAAAGTACGGTGAAAAGTACTCTGGTGTGAACGCGGCTATTCACTGCCATCTATAAGACATTAGCATAGCATGAAGGATATTTTAGCTAGCCTGTTCTGTGATGTCATGTTTATTCACCTCGAACACAACAAAATACTTGAAATGATGATGATAATGATAAGGAAGAGGAACATTAAAATGTTGTGCACTTGTGAAGTCCATAGAAGTTGTGCTACAGAGTGCAGAGTTAATAGCATGGGGCCTATTTGTGATCCCTGCTGGATACCTTTATTAACTATTTCAGGACTTCAACTAAAACAATACAGTCTATGTTTAAATCCCACATGGGTAGAAGACAGTAGCAGAGGGAAAACATTTTTTAATTCAAGAATATTAATTCAATGTATTGTATTAGTGTTCTTACTGCTAAATTGAAATGTAGGGTTTGCGGTCCAGTCCAGGTAATGTTTACTTCCCTTTCTGTATCCATATTGGGATGCATGATAACATTACAGCTGCAGGGACAACAACAGCTGTGATTAGCTGGTCCAATTATTTTCAATAATGAGCTCCTGCATTATATGACACTGAATGGCAAATACGAGCAATCTCAAGGGCGTTGGGACAGAGCAGCAGTGAGGTTAACAGCAGTTAGGCTCATCTTGACAGAGCCTGGATGGAAAATCAAAGAGACAGCAGCGTCATCATGGGACATACAGGAGCCTCAGAACATGCAGTATGATGCAAGGTGGCTAATTTAATTACACTGTGTTATTAAGAGGGAAATGGATTTATTTTGAAGCCTACAACGTTTAATGATGTTTGCTTTTAAATAAAAAGTTCTAATCAACTATACCAAGTAGCAATAGAGAACAGCTTTTATTTTTTTGCCATTATTAGGTTTTAATGTTGATTCCAGAATATAATGGCTGTAGAATAATGAAATAATCTGTGTTTAGATTGGTTCACTATAAGTCATTTTGCTAACAGGCAACTCAACAAACGAGCTTGAGTATCCCGAGGTAGTGGACTAACTGGATTAATATTATCTTTGAAAATATCCCTGTTGGCGAAGTAGGAAACGGAGAGGAGAAGGGAGAGCGGAAATAAATGTGTCTTGTTTTACAGAGATAGTTCAGTCATTCCTAAAAAATCTGCAAATTATAGCATCTAAGAATAGGGTTCTATATATTTGGCATTGTTAAGCTTGTTTCTTGCTGTGGACAGTAGCTGGGTCATATATGTGGTTTTAGCTTAATACAGTGATGTTAAGTCAGTATTTTTAACCCTAGCTCTCTTAGGAGTATGCCTTATTGACAATAGAATGAGTCTCAATTAGATTACATCTCCAGAGACATAATGGGTCTCTCCAAACAACAGGAAAGATAAATGGCAAGTGTGTGTCAGAGAAGGTATGCGTGTGCATCTCTACATTTACCTCACCACAGCCTCTTTGACATCAACAACCATTATCTCAGGCTGAATCCCCAGGTGCATTATGTTGCCTAAAGGATTCATCATAATGGAAAGACTTGCTTGTTGTCAGCCAGCAGATGCTCTTAACAAGTCAATATCCCTTACTGTTTCATTGCAGAAACACTCTGCCCAGTAAAGTGGTTAAGGGACTAATCATTAGCTTCTTATCAAACTGACAGACATGGATGA